GCAAAAATAAGCAGCAGTACTCTTCAGAATTTTTTTGAAGGGTAAACGTTTGACGGTAACAGCTGTTTTCTCAGAAGATTATCCAGAGTATGGAGTAACCACCCCTAGTTATCCTAGTTATTGAAAAAAGAGTGATAAGATAGACATCGAATATAATAACCAATTTCTTTTATTGCCTAAAGCATCCTAATAGAAAATCAATTTTTACAATCAATTCAACATTTAAACAATTTTTCACATAGCAAGTCCCAATCACAAAATTTGCATGACCACAGATCTTCGCTTAATAGGGCTTTTACCTTTTGAATGCGCGTTCCCTTTACGCATCAGCATATTACATGTAGAGAACGATGACCGTGTTATTTAAAAAAGTAGTATCTAAACTGAGATTACATCAACGACATATAGCACATTTTTCATATTCTACATTGCCTACCATCTCTCTTTAAAACCAAGAGAATTTTGAAGTGAGTACAACAGATTTGTGTGCAAGAGGAAATAACTAAGCAACCCTAACAGATTTTCTTTGCACAAGTTGAAGGAAAAAGTTGAGCATATAAAATTTTTCAGCACTTGCCTTTCCTTTGCGAGAATGAAGAAAATATTTGATAATGCAAATAGCATCATTGGATCCGAACAATCGAATCCTATCTACGGAATAAAGGGGAACATGCCACAACCACACCCACACCATCTATACCATTCAATATTGATATCATGTTTTTTGTGGTTTGCGATATCCGTCAACATAACCCGAAATCTCTTCAAGAGAATCACTTTGCAAATACAGATTAAGGATATGGACAATCTGGGCTATATGTATCAATGCGCACGTTGCTTGTGCAACTGAACTAACGGAAGTAAGGTCAAAACCCACATAATCGGTTGGCTTATGCATTGTGTGGACGGCTATTGGCACATATTGCGCAGGCCAAGCTGTTGCGTTTGGATAGTCTACATTGGGTTTATGACCGAAGTCTTTTTGACCGTACATTCCGACCATATTGCTCATAGCGGAAACGATAGTTCTATTTGTGTCGGTTGCTCGGACATAAATCTGAAAATTGTACATGATTCGAAGTAGATATCCTCTTACTGTTCATGTTCTTCAATGATTAACCTCTTTTGATGAGTACTGAGGTGAGAGGAATTTGTGATCATCAACGTAGGTTTTTCGTATCAGTTTTCCCAGCTTCATTTGCTGCTGCATCCCAAGCTATAATGACAAAAGATTACAGTGTTATTTGAAAATTTATTTTTTACTATACTTGTATAGGAAAAAAGTTGAGGCTAGAGTGGCCTTTGTCTATGTTTTTTTTTTCTGGAAAGAGTAGAACTGGATTTAGAAGACATCTAATCATTTTTTTTCTAAATTATCCTTCGTATCCCGATTATTAATCAAAAAAATTACCGGTGTCAGCTGCCCAAAACCACTGCCGCCCATTGTCCAGTTTGCTTCTTGGATGGGATCATTTTTAAATGTTTTTGTTGGTGTTCGATCTCCATGTCTCCACATCTATGAAAGATATTCTCATAAAATTGTGAACTGAAGTTGACAGTGAAATCTGCACTTGGCGTGCTTCCGAGATCTTTGTACTAAAGAAAACAATTCTTATCATTTTACGAGTAGTTGCGCATTTTTTGCATTTTTAATTTTTTTATATAAGATTACATCAGCGATTGTTTCGTAGGTGATGTCTTTCGACAAATACG